TTTCCTCAAACAGAGTTGTATCCAAGTGTTTTTCTTCAGTTTCTCTGATTCTGTCTTCCATCGTTTCAAACCTGCTCCTCAGCCCTTCCATGACACTGTCCATTTCTGAAATCTTGTTGTTTATCTTTTGGATTTCTAATTGTTTTTGTATGATTTCTAGTTATGAACTTATTTTAGCATTTTTTCGTGTATTATTTTCTTGAATTCTTCCATTTTTTTGTCTGTATTTTCCATGAATTTATCTGCCTTTTCCATGAATTTGTCTATTTTTCCCTCGTTTTTGTCTGTTTTTTGCTTCAACTCTTGGATAATTCTGAGTATTAGAGATTTGAATTCCCTATCAGTTAGGTCTGGTGCCTTTTCTTCTACTGGAAGGTCATCTGGTGTTTTATTTTGGATACCTACTGGAACCATCCTGTCCTGTTTTTGTAAATGTTTTGATATTGTCTGCTGTCTTCGGGGCATTCAGTCGTTATTTTCCTTGTTTATTGATTGTAGATTTGTTTGTTTCATCCTGCTTTTTTGTTTTATTTGGTTATGTCTAAGCAGGCAGGCTGTGCGTTCTTTGTTGTTTGCTCGTCTGTGGGCGCAATACTTCCACCTCCTTCTCCAATGGCAGGGTCAGTCACTCAGGTATGGTACAGCAGGGCAAGTCCAGCTGAAGGGGAGTTGCTGGGATAGGTTGTTTGTGGCAGGTACCAGGGCTGACAGTGCGGACTAGGAATCAGTGCAGGGCAGGTTCCAGTAGGCCGTTCCTGTGCTGCTTGGGAGTGTGATGTACAGCGCGTGGTGCAGGCAGGCAGGCAGGAGGGGGGAGATTGTGATGTGTGGAACTAAGATGGGTATGGGAAAGATGAGAGAGAGGAGAGAGGAATAGGAGCCAAAAACATACAAACAAAAAAGGGTGCTAAGCAAGCTTGCTATTGGAGTGGAGAGATGAGAGACTAAGAAATGGGGAAAAACAAAAATTAAAAAAAAAAGAAAAAAATGAATAAATTGAGAAACTGGAAATGAAGAAAGAAAAAAGGGAATAAGAGAAAGAAGAAAACTAAACAAAGAAATGAAAAAGACAAAACAAAAAGAAAACAATACCCCCAGGGATGTCCCTGTGCATCTGTACAGAGTAAGGGACTAGCTTCCAAGCCATGTGGTACTGCCTGGCTAGAGCAGGCTCCCAAGCCGAGAAGAGAAAAAGAAAACAAACAAGCAAATCAAAACAGAACAAATCAGAGCAAACAAACAAACAAACAAAAAAGCCCCGGGAGTCCCACCAGCTTGGCAGTACAGACCAGGAAGCAGTTTCACAGTCGAGCGGTGTTTTGCACTCTTTCAGGAAGAAGCGAAGATGGTGCACGGAGCCAGGTGTTTGAGAGAAAGGAGTGGGAGGTGGTGAGAGGTAAGGAACAAATCAAAAGAAGCAGAAAAAAGCAACACCAGCAGCCAACAATTGGCACTCAGGGAGCTGGCCAGTGCCGGCGGGTGGAAGCCAAGCGGCACTGGGGGGGAAGCTCGTGCTTCCCGGCCAATAGGCTGTGGCTGCAGGAAACAGAGGAGGCTAAGCAGGGGTGAAGAAGGGTGGGGGGCAGGAAAGCCTATATGGTGGGTTACCGGTTTTTCTGTCTCCTGCTGGAAGCTCCATGAAGCTGCTTTCTCATACCTCCTGTTCGTTGATCTCCGATAGGAGTACAAGATGGCAGATCCGTGCTGCGGTAGCTGACAGGGGACCTCTGCGTGTATCTCTTCTCGTGCTCTGTTCTCAGTCAGTTTCTTATTCCATTTGGTGCTTGGCTGAGTATCTCTTCATTTGATGCTTAGGGTTTCAGGATTGACGTGTGACTCTGTTTGACTTAGTTTTTCTGATCTTAGCTGCGGAGAGACGGCATGGTGCTTCAGACTATAGAGCCATATTGCCCGGAAGTACTAACGTGATCTTATTCAGTGCTCACAATGAACCTGCACATGGGCGTTATTATCCCATTTCCGGGAGTGGAAGCAGAGGCTTAAAGAGATGTAGTGTCCATGCCCAGGACCCCACAGCTAGTCAGTGGCAGAGCAGGAATTGGAGCCCAGGGCTGTCTGCCTTCTGGGGAGGTTAAATGCATCAGTATGTAAGTATGTTAGGGGCAACAGCACATTTACCACCTGTGCATTCTCCTGAAAAAGTCCCATGCATTCTCCTGTAGTACTTGAAACCATGCTGGGCTTAACCAAACCAAAAACCAAGCCTGCTATTCCGACTCATAGCGACCTATAGGACAGAGTAGAACTGCCCATAGAGTTTCCAAGGAGCAGCTGGTGGTTTGGAACTGCTGACCTTCTGGTTAGCAGCCGAGCTCTTAACCACTGCTCCACCAGGGCTCCACTGGGCTTAGCAATATGATACTTTTTACTGTCAATCAGTTCTGTGCTGGGCCATCAGAAAAAGTGAGATGTGGTTCTAGCCCTCATGGGACTTTCAGTTTGGAAATGAGTTTACGGTCCCCCACCCAAGAAATCCAAAATAACCCCTCCTTAATTTCTGCCATTCTTCCTCATGATGGATCATCATGCTGGCATTGTGCCCTGGGTATGTGCTTATGCGTCGTTCCCTTCTCTGGGCCTTGGTTTTCCCATCTATAAAATGAAAAGAGTGGATTAGGTAATCTCCCAGAGGCCTTTAGCAATTCAGATAGTAGAATGAAATTCAGCTTACTCAGAGAATCTATTCTTATACACAGGAAACAATTAGAGAATGTTACAAGATGTATGAAATGAAGTATTAACTTGTGTGGTAAGAGATAAATTTCTGAGTAGGAATGGAGCTATGAGTACTAGGCATAAGGGCTTTTCATTTATTTATTCATTTTACTGAGTCCTGATGGTGCAGTGGTTAAGAGCTATGGCTCCTAACCAAAAGGTCGGCATTCAAATCCACCAGCTGCTCCTGGGAAACCCCATGGGGCAGTTCTGCTCTGTCCTATAGGGTCAGTATGAGTCAGAATCAATTCGATGACAACAGTTTAGGTTCGATGACAACGGCTTGGTTTTTTTGGTTATTATGTACTGCACACTCTGCTAGGTAGTGGGGATATGATGGTAGATAAAATTTCATCCCTGCTGTCAGGGAACATATGGTCCAGGATGAGAGAGAGGCAAGTAAACAACAAGTACAGTGTCATGTGGTAAGGATATGCAGACTGCTGTGGGAACACAGAGGAGGGGTCCCCAACCTGCCTAACTTTGGGGAAAGGCTTGTTAGAGGAAATGGCATCTGAACTTGGAAGACAAGTGATGGGGGAGGGAAAAGATGAGTCTTCCAGAGAGAGAATAATGAGACCCACATTGTACTGAGCACTCACCCTGGTGCCAGAAGCTGGTCTAGCAGTTTACACGCACTGTCTCATATAGCATAGGTGCCATGATTACCTTCCTCATTTTAAATATGTGGATGCCAAGGCTCAGAAGTGTTAAGTAACTTGCCAGAGGACACACAAGTAGTGGGAACTGGGATTGGGACAAGATCTTTTGGTTACTTAGAGCCTACTTGCTAATCCAAACTTTACCCACTGAAGAATAAGAAATGGGACCCAAGTTCTGTTAGCAAGTTTCCCTCAGCATAAAACCAAGAACAGAGCAATTACATTTTTCTGCACTTACTCTTGACTGTGTCTCATTCTGTTGCCCTCCATGGTAAGGAACTTGTCTGAGACTGAATTGAATCCAAATGTTCTCACTAATTTGGGGTCTGGTTCAAAGGAGCATAGTCAAGTGATTGGGAATCTGGAGTATTGTCTTCCCAGTTGACAGGGATTATGCAGATTGATAACATCTTTCCTCAGCCTCTCTCTCATTCCTTGTGTTAAGGTAATCACAGAAGACCCACTTTGATATTTTTGGCACAGTCAGGGTTTTAGCTTACAGAAGCCTGCTGGGACAGTGTTCAGATTCTTCTAAAAAAAGAACATAAAGAACATTATCAAGCCTTATCCTGAGCCATATTTCTGTCCAGCAACCAGACTAGTCAGCTTGTGAAATTTTGCAGATGTTGTAGGTACAGACTCACCTTTTGACAATTTGAGAGAAAAAGAGCATATGGTTTCTATGAACTTCCTAGAACTATATTTTCTACATGAGATATTTTTAAGTCTAATTGAATTTCATAAACATGACATTTGGTAACACTTGAGCATGTTTTTATTCTGTTGTTTATGGCAGCAAAATAATTTATTCCATATCTTTTTTCAGAAACTTCTAGAACTCAACAACCTTCATTCTCTCATGTCTGTGGTGTCAGCGTTACAAAGTGCACCCATCTTCAGGCTGACAAAAACCTGGGCTGTAAGTGAACCTTCCTAAATCTGTTTCTTTGATTTTGGCTGTCATTTCATTGGTAAAGTTCTTCATTCCTTAAATCCCAGAGGACTTTCTTTGACAATCTGCCCTTTGCCAATGTCAGAGGATTACTGTGGGCTAAAGAAGTGTTCCCTGGGCATCCTCTTTCCTTCAGTGATCTCAGCCATTTCAGTATAAAGGAGCTTAAGGCACTGACATGGCCGGGGTTGGAAGCTGTCCAGAGTAGACTTTTCTGGATCCTACAGTGTCGTGCATGACAGCTGGGTCAGCGGCATGACATCTGCCCTTGGCTTGGCCAGTATTCTTCTCTGAAAGGCTCCAGATTGCCCTTGGGAAGGTCTCTGGGCCGATGATTTGCAGCTGCCCTGGGTTGCTGGCCATACAGCAAAGAGTTTCTCTGCAGAAACATGTGACCCTCATGTAAGGAAAAATGATTTTTTTTTTTTTTTTCCTGAAGGCCATGGATAATTTCAGCTCAGAGGTGGAGTCTGATAGTTATATAATTGAGTCTGTAGGAAAGTTTTTCTGCTGTAAAAATATTTTAAAAAATATCTCAGACCTCTTTATCCTCTTTAGCTTGGCATAGTGCCTGACATGGGGGAAGTAATTGCTATTTCCATAGCTCATTAGCATTCACCTCCTGGCCCGCCTGGTCCAGAGTCTCGCACAGCCGCACAGCCCAAGCCTTTCAGGACCTGTTTATGTCCCACGGAACTGAAGGAAACTGTATGGAATTGTCAGATGTGCTTCTGCAACTCATTTCCGAACTTTTTTCTGCCAGTCTGTGGGGCTGGGCTCTGTTTCATACTTGGCTAGTTCAGAAGCCTTTAAAATACTTAGCAATTATGTTGTAGGTGATCAGAAATGAGCCTTGTTTCTTTAAAATACAATTTTTCATAAATCTGGCCCTAGCAAGGTGGAATGAGAAGTGTTAGCCTGAAGTCAGAAAACTAGGTTTGCATCCAGGCACTATTCAGAGCGTCATTTTCCTTCTCTGGGACTCATTTTCCCATATCTACTCAGAGAGACTGGCCTAGATTAGTCGTTTCCATCAATGCTTTGTGGAGCCCAGGGGTTCCCTGGAGCTGCCTTGGGGCTGCCAGGGGCTGGAGGAGAGGGTAGAAGGTGCCCGGCAGACAGCTTGGACCGTGTTTCCCCCAGAACAGCTCTGTTTGTATCAGTTTTATGTACTGGGCTTTTGGGTGGATTTCAGATGAACAATGGCTTTGGAGGTTGAAAGCAAATTTGGAAGCCACTGGTCTCTGCAGTTGCCGCCAGCCCTGTGATTCTTCGCGACCGGTAAGGCTTTTTTCAAAGGTTGCGTGGAGATTCTTTTTCAAACAGATTATCCATCATTTGAAATTTGTTATTGTTTCTTGGATTGCTAGGAGCTGTGTGAGGATCTGGAGTGATGAATTTTGAATCTTCTCATGTTGCGTAGACCCTACTGTTAGTAGTATTGTAACTTGCAAGGACCCTGGTAAGCTGTATAGTCTGTGAGGCCAGAAGCAGTGAATTAGCACAAGGAGCAGGGAGTGTCTAAGAGATCCATTCGGTGATGGAGCAGGGCCCACTGATGAAACTTTGGCCGTCATTCCTCAAAGGGTGCTGTACTGTGCCCTGAGCAGTGGGGCAGCATCAGGCCATAGCAATACCCAGGGATGCTCTGTTTGGCTTGACAGAGCACTGCCCCAGGGTGGTCACATCTTCACTGTTGTTGACAGGTCTTTGCTGCAATGAAAATAAATTTCCTACAGTTCCTCAGAGAGCCTGGTATGGAATACCTACCCAGGACCCATTTGAAAGCATGGGCCTTACCTAACTCCCAGACCGTATGGGTCATCTGTTCTTTATGGATTTGCCAAAATAAAAATACAGTAGAACCTGCAAAAGCCAGAACCTGTGTAAGGCAGAAACCTGTCAGAGAAGGAAAACTCAAATGTTTTCCACTAAAACCAGTGACAGGATTGACTGCGGTGAGTAGTGACTGGAATCTTAAAAGCCTGCGAGTGGCCATCTAAGATACATCTACTGGTCCCATCCTGGCTGGAGCAAAGGAGAATGAAGAAGACCAAAGACACAAAGGAAAGATTAGTCCAAAGGACTAATGGACCACAACTACCACAACCTCCACCAGACTGAGCCCAGAACAACTAGATGGTATCTGGTTACCACCACCGACTGCTCTGGGAGGGATCACAATAGAGGGTTCTGGACAGAGTGGGAGAAAAATGGTGAACAAAATTCAGATTCACAAAAAGAAAGACCAGGCTTGCTGGTCTGACAGTGACTGGAGAAGCCCTGAGAGTATGGCCCGTGGACACACTTTTAACTCAGTACTGAAGTCACTCCTGAGGTTCACCCTTCAGCGAAAGATTAGTCAGGTCTATAGGGCCAACAGTAACACACATGAGGGACGTGCTTTATAGTTCAATCATGTATACGAGACTAATGGGCACACCAGCCTAAAAGCAAAGACGAGAAGGCAGGAAGGGGACAGGAAAACTGGGGGAATGGAAACAGGGAAACTGGGGTGAAGAAGGGGAGAGTATTGATACATCATGGGGTTAGCAACCAATGTCACAAAACAATTTGTGTATTAGCTATTTAATGAGAAATCAATTTGCTCTGTAAACTTTCACCTAAATCACAATTTAAAATAAATAAATAAATAAAACAAGTGATAAAAAATGGTAAGACTGCATCCTGTCAAAGGCAGAAATCTTTCGAAACCTGGGAAGACAGAGCAGTCCTGTTGGGTTCTGGCTCTCACAGGTTTTACTGTAATATATGCCAGGCATTATTTTAAGAGGTTTACATATATTAACTCATTTCATCCTGACAACTACCCATTGAAGCAGGTACTATTGTTATTCTCATTTACAGATAAGGAGATGGAGGCATAGAGAGGTAAAATGATTTATGCAGGGTCCCACAACTAAGTGGCAGGATCCCAAGCAGTCTGGCTCTAGAGTCCATGCCCTTGACCATCATACTACACTGATCTGAAAGAAACAAGGACAATTCTAACCAGCCACCTGCCACTCAAACAAGAGAGAAGTCCTGTTTATTTTTTTTCTCCTCTATTCAAAGTGCTATAGTAGGAACTTTGAAGATGAGGTCAGTAGATTGTCAGTGCCTCCCTAGGCCTTTGAGTCTCTGACTTGGCTGCAGCTACTGCTGGCCTGGCCCCTAATCCTTGGAGCGTAACAGAAAGGGAAGCCAGAGGAGGGCCCATCAAAGAGGGAACGTGCAACCAGTGAGCCAGAGAGCTGCAGCCAGACCTCGAAGGCTGCCCTGCAAAATGCTGTCTGCCACTTACTCCTTGGTTAGTCCAAGCCATGGCTTTTGTTGTTTCTCCAATCCCCTGGGATTGGCTGCTACTTTTGCCACCTCAGTGGGCATTTAGCTGGTGGGAGCCAGGGAGATTTGGGGAGCAGAGATCATGAGTCACCAAATAATCGGGGACCCAGGGCAACAACACGTCCCTGTTCTTTTTCTGAGAACCCCACCCACCCCATTGCCTCCTAAGCGCTGAGAGCCAGGGCTGTTACCCTGGTTACAGAGAGCCACTTACTAGGGCAAAAGGCCGATTGATGCAGCATCCCAGGAAGTGGGAGTGGCAACTGCCAAACTGTTGTGTTAGGGAAGTGGAGGGGTTGGCTTGATACACGCTATGAATTACAACATGAGTCTCCCAGGTCATTTGTTTCTTGGTGAACCCACTGTTCAACCTTTGTTTCGGACCAGACTCCCCCCATCACTCACCTGTCCTGTTAATCCAAGAAAAATGATTGTCACAGAGCATGTGGCAAATGGAGGGAGCCAAACTCATCATCTTTCCCCTTTTTCCGATTCACCCTCTGCCCCTGTGAAATGGACAACTCCATCATCTATATTCCTGAAGCTCTCTCTCCACACCTGTCTGGTAACACAGCACACACTGCATGTGCACTGAAGGTTTTGCTGACTTGTCTACTTCCTCCTCTTGACTATATTTCTTCATGATAAGGTCTGATTTTTCTCTGTACCCCTGGTGCCCAGCCCAGTGTATGTTTGTTGTTTGAATTGTAAATGTTTGTTGTGTTAAATTGCATCCTTCTTTTGCCATTAATTTCTGGTAATGAGATGAGCCATAGAAATGTTGCCACAAAAGAGCCGTTTCCTCTCATTTATCCCTTGTGCTGGGATTGGTGAGACTCCATGGGGCCCAGAGAGCAGGGAGGAGCAGGAGGCGTTAGAGGCACCAGCCATAACAACCTCAAAGGTTAGTGCTTTTATAATCCTCATTTTGGAGAGGAGGACACTGAGGTTCTCAGAGGTGGAATGACTGGTCCAAGAGCCAGTACGATGCAACCTTACTCTGCTGAACCCCACAGTCTAGCTTCTTGGCCACTTTGCTGTATGACTTGTTAATGGCGAGAAGACTTGAACTTAAAAGACCTGAACTTAAAATGGAGCCAGCCATGCCAGGATATGGGGAGAGCATTCCAGGCGGAAGCAACAGTCGGTATAAAGTCCCTATAAGCTTGGTGTGATCAATGAACTCGGAAGACCAAAGTGGCAGGAGCTCATTGGGTCAGGAGGAGGTTGATGTGAGATGTTGTAGATGGGCAGCAGGGCTGATTGTGTAGGACCTTACAGACTGGGTGAGGAGTTAGGTTCTATTCTAAGTGCAGTACAGCAATTTAAGTAGGAGATAGATATGATCTGGTTTACGGTTGCTGTTTGTTTGTTTTAATTACCGTTGCTACTGTGTAGAAAACGAATTGGGCAGAGGTTGCAGGGGGAACCAAGAGTGGAAACACAGGGCCTAGTTAGGAGTTTAGGGCAGAATCCAGGGGCAGCGTGATGTCAGGTAGGATTGGGAAGGTTGCAGTGGTTATGGAAAGAAGTATACCAGTTTGGGATGCATTCTGAAGATAGAGTTGACAGGATTTGTGATGGATGGGATGTTGGAGATGGGGGAAAAGAAAGGAATGAAG